TTTGATCGTGTTAACTCGTTTTCCCAATTAATAAAACAATTGACAAAACATTCACAGGTGTAGTGGAAGCGGCGATAGTCTTGATCTGTTTTCTGTGTTACCTATGCGGTGTGAGAAAAATACAGTTGCCTGTATTGACAAGAAAGATTTTTGAATCCAGGATTAGTCGATGGCTAGCATGAAATGCATTTGATTTAGGCGTTACCGGCAAATCAAATCCAGTATTATTAATATTTGATATGTAAGACTATGCAATGCCACGGTGACCTGTGGTTATTTGCAATGTATATTTTTTATCTTGGTAAATCAGATTGAGTTATAGATATTTACACTCCACAATTTAAACGAAGATACAATCAGTGTCGACTTCGTGTAATACGACATGTTGTGGAAACGATAAGAGAACCTTTTAATACGCTAAAATGCAATGTTAATACACCATATATTAGGCAACTATCATAACCTCTATCAACAAAAAAACAACTTGTTTTGACGGTGGTATTGTTCCTCCACCCCAGGTGAGCTCAGGTTAAGGCTTCGAAAAAAAATGGAAAGAAAACAATCAGTTAACAGGATCAAACGAAGTTAATCAGACAAGAATCATTATTTCGGACGACCGGCTACAAACTTTAGGCATTTGCAATGCTTGCCGTACCAACATCGAGCATTGTGTGCTCGGACGCCTATATATATTTCTAGCGGAACTGAAAACTATCAAAGTCTCTTGTGTTTCACTCATCTAGAAAATCACCATTCCTCGAACCTTTTCTTCCTCATTGTATGCAATTAGCTCCCAGTTTTGACTTTAAAAATGTTTTTTATTTCTTGGTATGCATCGCTTAGAGCGATTTTTTCGCCTTGTGTTAGAAAGTTAATAGGCAGGGAGTTTTAATACGCGTGTTGTTTTTGTAATACTATGAATCAATGTAGAAAAAAACAGAACTTTTTCACGCCTTATTTGAGCGAACCTAAGGCTTTAATAATAATATGTGGGTTGATATTAGTTCCGCATTTAAATTACTTGATATGCTTTAATGAACAAGCAGAACCAGTAACCCGGGGCTTCTTGCCAATTATGGATAATTAAAAACCTAAATTACTTTCGACTGTATTCATGTTGAATCGATGATATTAAGCCATTAGCGGTAATTATAGACACTTAAGATTTGAACGATTAGTAAATTACAATTATATCATAATCGATGTTTTTGGAGACTTGAATCGTATGCGCACACAATTAGGGCATCAAAAAGGCGAATGGTCCAACAAAAAATCATAGGAATACTAGGCCTTTTACAGATGACAAGAAATCACTATAAATACACATTGTTATAGGCCCTAAATACTGTAACATTAAATAACTAATTATACGTTTACTTTATACATTGCTTTTTGTCGATAAATCATGCATTCATTCATTCATTTCATTCAATTAGTATTTATTATGACAATGAAAACTATTTTCTTAAAATGTTAGGCATAAATAAAATGTTAAATATTAGGCATAAATCTTGGTTTGTTCCATAATCAATGAAGTAAGTCTTTAGTTGGTGTAATGGGTCTCATCATATCTTTTAGATCTTATAAAACTGTACACATGTAAACTTTTAAATTGTAGGCCTACTATATAAGAGCACAGTTCACAGGCACTGTGCGCGACATTTTAAATTATGAAACAATTTTTTTGCGTTTATTTACACTGTTGTGCTTTACGAACGAACAAGGCATTTGCACAATTCATCGGCTAGCCAATTGTCAAGATCTTAATTTATCCTGGGTCAACCTACTATTATTTCTTGCACTTTTACCTCATATCTCGGTCTATGATGTGCAAAATTGGAAAATATTAGCGGCTAGGGAATTTTCATCAAACCCATTAGCAGTTAGCACGACCTAATTGCTACACATTTTGTAAAACAATTTTCTAAACAAAAACAGTGCGGTATACGTCTAGTCCCGGTTCGTCGAATGCACGTAGCTTTTATAATTTTTTAGTCCACATTCACTTTCATGCCTGCTGACGCACCAGAGGTGTTGTGCACTTATTTGGCTGTGATAATTTAATTTACGGTAAGTTTATACGCGTTTACAGGCTGTAGAGGCTACACCATATTACGCAACGTGTACTGTAGACTTATCCGAAGTAGCGTTTCTTGCGTCTAAATTGTTCTACTGTGCACAAACTTTGTACCTCTATTGGACTGACGTTTGTAATGCTATGCGATGTGACGCATTACGTAGACATTACGTTTATATGCGTTCATAGAGTATGCAGCTTAAAAACAAAAGAAGTTTAAGACCAAATTCTTCAATTGTGTCAATAGCACAAATTACATATTTTCTGAGTGGCTAATATAAATCAAATTAGAAATATACAACGTAATTAATTGCAATATTAGGTCTATGTATATACCGCAGAATTTAGTGTATAAATGTCATTATCAGACGAATAATATTCATTTTACCTTCGTAAAATTCTGTATCGCCGTCTATTAAGTATGGACACATGTATTTAAACTCTATACGCAGCTAATTCTTCGTTGTATTATTAAAAAAGGCGACAACGCGGAACGGTAAACTATTATACCATTTGCGCATGATCATTGCGCGTCAAGATGATGATAATTCAAAAGCAAACTAATTTTGACCTATTAACGTTACAAGATATAAATTGAATAATGGATAAACGAAAGCAAGACGACGTATTCTGTTATCCTACTTGTGATCTTCACAAGAGGTGTTACCAACAAACGTCAAACACAGATATGATTATCTAACGACAAACTATCTCATTACAGCATTACATTAGTTCATTAATCATAACCGGAGGTGTAAATTTGAGCAAGATTTTCCGAAGCCAGTCTAAATGATGTAAACTCGAAGAAAAATGAGTGAACGAATCCGGGATCAAGTCAAGCTCGATGTAAGCGGTTCGCAGTTCAAACATGCACAGCTATATGTTCAAAATATTACTGATATACTCAATTTACAATTAATCAATTTAATCTAATATTATCGATCAGTTTTGAAAAACGGAATGCAATATCTTCACTAAAAATTCACCTTCTTAGGTACACTTTTGTTTTTATAAGAAACAGTAGAATTTTGCCCAGGTTCAGTGTACACACTTTTTCAAACATAGAAAATTATTATTGGACAGCAGTATATTACTGTACTGTATTATAAAGGGTATTATACACACCTGCAAAACAAATACAGATAAGATTTGTTAGTTTATAAATAAAAACCTTATTTGACATTTTACCTTTACCTCAATTTTTTTCTTATTTTGTTCTAAATTTTTAAGCAATTTAAACCTCAGGTACTGGTACTGGTACTTGTAGCCGTCTAATTTGAGACATTCGGCAACCATTGGCATTATGGTGGCGTTAAAAGACTGCATATTATGATGAGAGACCCGTGCGCACAAACAAACAAATATGGAAAACTGAATGCTTTATTTACAAAATTTTCTATTTAATATTTATAGGTGAAACTTTCTTTGATAAATTAGCTTTTATTAAGTTGACTTTCATCTATGACGCGTTGAAGAATACGTCAGTGTTCTTATAAAATGTGTTCTATAATAAAATTGTACTGTACATAATATATTAATACTGTACCGGATCGAAACAAGCAGTGTACAGTTTATACATATCGACAGTTGGCGGTGAAGATGTAGGCCTACTGCCGTTTGAAAGTAATTTTATTCATGCATTGTTTTGGATATACAATCAGGAGTTTATAGCCAACTTTGAAAATAGGGCAAACCATTTCCAAGACAAGATACAGTAGATATGCGCCTATAAGATAAATCTAGTTAGGCCTATTGTTATTTTCAGAACATTTTGTTCTTACTAATAATTCATCTGTCCGGTTGTAAGTCATTGACTGGACTGAAGTCAGAGTATTCACATTTTTTAATAAATTGCAAATGATTCATACATTATTATTATTATTATTATTATTATTATTATTATTATTATTATTGTATTAATAATTCTGATAATATTATTGTCATAATAATGATGATGATAATTGTCATAATGATGTAATAATAATAATAATAATAATAATAATAATAATTATTATTATTATTATTAATATTCCACAAAAAATAACAATAAATAAGGACAATTTTAAAATTATATTAATTCAACATTAGTGCATAATAATTGGGAAGACTGTAAGAAAAAGCAGCTTTCAACTATCATAAAATACGGTAACTAATAATTTATATAATTTTATGGTTCAAATTGGATACCGACAAAATACAATTTGTTGGCATCATATCGTCGATATAACTTCGATAAAATAAATTAATGAGCCATATATAAAGCCACTTAAGTACTTTGGAAAATTAGTTTTTGACAGATGTTTTATTGCACACCCTAGAACTGTTTAAAAACGGTTTAACTAGTTCTTAATTCGTCCCCATAAAATAATTTGCGTGATTGTTAACAAAACTATAGTCTGTTTTATTGTAATTAATGGAGGATATGAAATTTATCTGTCTTCTTAGACGATCGTAATTCATTTTATGAACTATATGATTCACTAAGCAATAGTTAACTTCATATTAGAAAGAATACAAAAATTGCTCAAACGTGGTCTTCATTGATAATCGTGTGAATTATTTCGCGGTACGGATGAAACCAACGCGCGTGTTCACGCGATTGTTTATTTGTTTGTTCATAACTGCCACGAGACGGAGACAAAAGCGCCTTTGTTATGAAGAAGCATCTGATATAATTTCATTGCAATTGCCACTTCGCCTCTATCATTTGTCAATTTGTTCAGTTTATTGAATTTTAAGCCCTTTGTCAACAGAAGAATCATGTTCTTGATCAAAGATCATCGAAGCGGAAACAGTCAATCAACGACCAATCAACGGCGTTGTAAGCTCATTAAGCGTGTACTGCCACATCCCATTCGCTCGAAGCCCGAATACCACGTGCATTGAATTACTCAAACTTACGTGGATTTGACCAATTGCATAGCCACTACATTCTGTAGCTTTAACAATGCTTCATGATCCACTGGTCTAACTCTAAAAGACCGTGCACCACTCGTCAGCGTAACACAACGTGTAAATCGATTGTTGTGAAACCACTTGTTCTCTTCTTAATTCAAATGAACCAGGCCAGCTACTGTAAGCTCAAGTTTTTAGTGTAAGCACCCGCAGGCTGTCGCAACTTTCAAAATATCTTAGGTAAGCTTGGAAAAAAAACCCCCTTTTATGTCATTTCCCACTAACACTGTAAAGTATCCAGATTAAAGGTACATCTATTTCATTTCTCATGAATTACTTCAATAAAACAAGTTATAAAGTAATAATGTAGTCATTAAGCTTATTTTGTTTTATAACAAGAGCAAGTTAAATATGGTTAAAAACTAGTTTGACAAAATTTTTTCCGATTTCTTCTGTTCTCTATAGGTGTTTTTTATAAGCGTAAATTATGATTACATTTTCGTAAATAATACACTTGTTCTTGTGAGTCATAAGAATTGACACCTAGCTTTAATCCAAGTAATGAAGCAAAACGGTTCCATTATTGATATCATCTTTTTTTAATTCACAGCGCTTGCAGGCGAACCGACACCGGAGAACATCAGCATCGAGTCGCGGTCCATGAGGACCTTCACGCCGCCTTCATCAACCACTTGAGGACACACATAACCAATTGTATTTTAAAGCTATACTTCTTACAGAAAACAACGAGATGAAACCATTGATATCAGACAGCCCAAGAAATGGGGTTGAGGACGTAGGTGAGAGAGATCAGAACATGAACGTACAAATACCAGAGGACAATGTTCAAATTGACGTTGAAAAATGTTCGCATCATACAAAATCTACAATTATTGAACAAAATCCTGAAAACAGGATGCAACCGAGTCCAGAACCACAGAAACCAACACAAGTCTCCTCATTCCTTATCAAAGATATTTTGGGAGATGTTCAAAGGAAACATGAGGCAAATAGGGACATATTAGTATCAACAAACTCTTCATTTGTGAAACACTGTAAAGACATTGAAAATGAGGAAGAGAAATTACATGTAAGATGTAATAAAAGAAGATATTCAGATATGGAAGACGAAGACGATGAGGATGAGGAGAGTGGTGATGAGGAATCAGACTCAGGTAGGCTAGAATTTAAATTATTTCTCCTGGAATAATGGTATATAGGCTTATTAAAAAAACAATAACTGTAAAAGTTAATAAAATAATGGTAATCGTTGTATTCATCTTAGGCCTAGAATTCGAGAATATATTGAAAGATCGAATGTACTATCGATACGGTATGTATACTCATTTTAGGCCTATGCTGTTGTAGCTAGGCCCAGGTTTATTTAGACTATGAATGTATCCAAATTTATAGTAACATGATAGTTTATCAATCGAATTTAACATACATTAAATATGCATCTAGATTAAAAATTTTGAACTGTTTATTAGGTTTCTACGAAAGGATTATAATTCCGCTTTGTAAGAGATTTACGGCAATATTCAATTGAGTTAAATAAACAAAAACACATGTACCATAACATAAGGTTCAGGTGTTGGCCTATCAATTATATAAACAGCATTGTTAATAGTTGAAAACGAAATGTTCATAAAATTATTAGTTGTGTGGTAATTAGCATTAGGCGAGATTCCGTGGTACTATTTAATGATATTTCATTAATTAAAATGCTACAGCTGCTCAAATTGTGTGTGTTAATTTAACATATCTGTGATTTTATTATACCTATTTACTCTATTAATTTTTTTCAAGGTAAAGTAATTCATATTGCGAAATACAATAGGCCTATTCGTTAATGTCATCATATGTCTGTATAATATTTTAATGCATGTAAAATTTACCGGAAGCAACGGAGGCAAGACTTAATACGAAGTGCTCCGGGTAACACGGCTGCAAAAACACTTGCACTTAATCTTCAAAAGGTTGTTTATTATTTTAACTTCAAAAGAAAAAATCATAAAGACATTGTTCATATTTAAGTTTTATGAATAATAGTACTTAAATTTATACACCAACCTAATTAGAATAATTGTAAATACTTAAAGTTAATATTTAGATTCAGAAAAGATGTTGGAAAACGGGCTTTCTTTAATTTTAGAAACAAATCCTTTTATTTTAAAGCAATCTTACAGATACACAAAGCGATTTACTGTAAAATACACTATAGTTCTAACTATAACAATTGACAAGCTAGGATATTAAGTTTTCAAAAACTTTTATTTTAGCAAAGGACAATGAGATATCCTCGAGCGATGGTACACCATCGAAATCTAAGAAACCACGCAAAGCTAGGACTGCGTTTACAGATCATCAACTCAACACACTTGAACGCAGCTTTGAGCGACAGAAGTACCTGTCGGTACAAGACAGAATGGAACTCGCAGCAAGCTTAGGCCTCACCGATACTCAAGTCAAGACATGGTATCAAAATAGAAGGTAATATTTTATTTTCAAACTATCATTGCTATGTGTATCTCTTTGTATAATATTAGTTTAATATTTATTTGGAAATTTAAATTCTGATAAACTCAAGTAATATTTAATCGATTTTTGTAAGCCGACATTATGCTTAGAATGATAAGATTTAATTTAAGTTCGGATACTGTATTCTAGCAATTTTTTATGTAGGCTTATCAGTCAATTTTCACTTTAAGCTGTATAAGATCACCTAGTTTAATACATTGACTATTGTTAAGAAACTAAACAGCATTATTAAGAAAGGAAGGAAGTTAATATGGATTGTTATATAACAATGAATTCGTTAAAATATTCCGATCAACCAGTCAGGGTACTATATCTTAACATAAATACAATGCATCTATTGTATAATACATAGTATTATCTATACATTGAAAAATAATAACAATAAACTCTTCACATAAAATTACATCTAATCGCATTATGTACAATTACGAAATTTTATTTTGTTTACACACACCCACAGCCCCCCCCCACAAACACACACACACACACACATATATACATATATACACTTAAAAACAACACAACAGATCGTATCTTCATCATAGGCAAAGCCTATATTTAATCCAGTATATTATGGCCTTAACGGCCACAACAAGACATGTTTTGGCAGTCTACTACCATCGTCAATTATCGTATTGCACGCAGGCAATCGTTAGTATAGGGACTGTCTCTTATACACATCTAGATGTGTATAAGAGACAGTATACATATACATACATATATATACATATATATACATATATATATACATATATATACATACATACATATATATATACACACACACATATATATATATATATATATACATATATACATATACACTTATACATATATACATATGCATGCAGCAAGCAATACATGCAGCAAGTGCTACTAAAATCATTATAGATAACATTTAAAGATATTTATTTATTAATAATTCGTCACAATACATTTAAATATATATTGTCTAGGGGCGTGACTAGAGGTGGCATAGGCTAAGATTCAACATATCAAGTGGTCATGTCCAAAACTCTGCCCAATAACAATACATAGACAAAAAAAATAAAAAAAGAGATAAATAGGTGTGTTGTAGAATAGTACACGTCATGATTAATAATAAGAATTTACTAATGAAAATAACGATAATGATGATGATGATAATAATAATAATAATAATAATAATAATAATAATAATAATAATAATATATACATAAATAATGTATTATTTTATCCAAAATTAAATAAATTATATTGTTATCATTACTATTATTAATATTATATCCTTATTAATAATATTCTTAATATTATAATTTTTTATAATAATGTTAATAAATTAGTAATAAGTATTTTTATTTCTATTGTTATTAGTATTATCATGACCCTAATTGTTAGTGTTATTATAAATACTGATAATTATTATTTCAATATTTTTACTTTTGCTGTTATTATCCTTATATTTAATTTTTATGTTTATCATTATTATTATTATATTATTACTATAGATTATTATTTATTACAGTAGTCGATGCGACTATGGATTAAACTATGTTACAATGTGCATAAAACGAAACAAATAATTATTAGCTAATTACATTAGTGAAACTATTTTATATTATATTCTCTGTAAATTATTTAAGGATAAGTCGATTGAATATAAACATGAATAGATTATTCATAAGTCATATACATACATTTTAATAACATTTTCTCCAGGAAATCTTTGTAATCTGTTAATTTAAATGTGATATTTACACGAAAATTAATTATGACAAATATAATAATAAAAAATATTATTATAATCATCATTATCTTTAACGATGGTACCGGTTCTATTTTTAACTAATAGGCTACTGTGTTTCTGTTTAATATAATCGTTGCAGTTTGTCTTAAAGTAGTCGTATCTTAAAACACTAATCAGAATGCATAGCGATAAATGTGTTGTTTTTCTTGTAAAATGGTCAAAAAGACATTCCCAGGTACGGGATATCTAATGCAAATAATGAACATAGGTTATCTTAGTTTACACCGGTAATTCTATATTTCGTAAACTGTTTCATTTCTACACATAGCATTGGTCTACTCAAATTTGAACAGTATCGAAAGAGTTTATTTCGAATATAGTTACGTCAAAACCCCGCAAGAATGTACAAAATGTATTCCCCAGTGATTGTAGGCATATTAATTGTAATACAGTCCTATAGAAACGAATAATACTGCCTTGGGTAAAACAAATTGCGATCGTTTCCGATTTTAAACCTTGTAGGGTCACTTAAGTGTGCTTGTATGATCGACGACAGTTTACTGCGCACAACAAAATATCGACATATTTTGATAGGTCCCGGACCAATTAAGTGTTGTTTTCTATGTATTTGCTTAGTTTGAAGTTTGAAGTTTAGTGTATTTATCAGTTTATTATACTTAATGTTTCCAATAGGTCCCACGAGACATGTATCTCGTATAATATGTGTGAAAAACGATACCCGTGAACTTTTTAGTCCTAGAGATTTATATAAACTATCGGTAAAGCCTGATACAAAAGCCCGCAAAACGCACCTTTGACTTAGGAAAATGTTTCTTTTATGTCTGATTTTCCCCGAAGCAACTATCAGTAATCACAGGTGTGTTTGGTTTTGTAAATAACGCCGGCTTCGGCTTGTATGTTTTGAGAGAAGTGATAGGCCTCATAGTGATATAACACACCGTTCAATAAAACAGGGCGTACGCATACATAACATGGATATTAGTTCTGTATAATTTTTTTCCTCTGTAAGAAAGCAACTTATATTGGGTCACTTAGGAGTACACTGTCGATCAAGTTTATCGACGTACGCATTACGGAAGATAAATAATGAGGTGTTAAAAGGAAGAATAATAATGCCACAGATTGTGTCATGAATGAATGATGATTTATAACGAATCTCCGGAATATCTTGTAGCATGCGGGTTAAAATGAAATTGAATTCAAAATCTTATATTCATCTAGCCTAGGCCTAATAGAATAGTGAATCAAACACATATTTCTAGACCTATCAACACATAAAAAATGAAGTAATGTGTTGCTTTTTAAGGATTAAGGATATCGTTAACACTGTGATAGAGGTAGTCCTACTGGTATCTATAATTAGCAGTAGGTTTTCTTTCGTGGAAAAAATATCAGGCAGCCATTATACATTTAGTTTTGTATTAAAATATAGCATCTGTACTAGGGATGACATGTCAGGAAGTCTCAAACCAGCCACTACCTCCATCTTCATTTTAAAGCGGACCTACACGTAGGCCTACCTGACTATAAAAATGTGTAAAAAACACTACCTAGTTTCAATGCTACCAGGTCAAATGATGGGATAAAGCATTCAGTTGTCTGATTTCGTTTCGGTTGTTTGTCAGCTTCTGTTGTCACTCTTCTTTCTAAAGTCGAATTAAAATATTAAATGTTCACTTATTTATTCTTTCAGGACAAAATGGAAAAGACAGACGCAAGTTGGTCTAGAATTGTTGGCGGAGGCGGGAAACTACTCGTCAATGCACCGTCTCTTCGCACCCCCGTTTTACTATCACCCAACGCAGGGAATCATATCAAACATGGACGGGTTGTATAGTATCCATCACGGTCAGCGTCCCGTATTCCCGCGAGTGTTTCTACACGGCCTTCAGCAACATGTCAACCATTTGCCACTCGCCCCGAAAGCAATTCATCCACACTCACACTAAGTCATATTAGTTAAGGTCGTTTTTTTTTTTTTTTTTTTTTTTT